CTAGTCTGTTATATTGATACATAGAACTGTTTTGTTTTTACCAAGATCATGATGATTTTATCACAGCAGTTTTTTAGTATAATTTCAAGGCAGGGATTATGTCTTTTACTTTACCTTTGTTGGCCAGGATTGACTTTGCAATTCTAGGTCTTTTCTGCTGCCAAACCAATTTTCTAAATGTTTTCTCTAGATAAGTAAGGTATGCCAATGTTATTTTGATTGATATTGCGTTACGTCTGAATAACAGTTTTGGGAGTATAACTATTTTCACAATGTTGGTTCTTTCCATCCATGAGCAAGGAATGTCTTACCATTTTCTGAAATCCTCTTTGTTCTCTCTTTGCTTAGATTATTATAATTTTTACTTTTTCTTTCCTTTGTTAAATTAATTCATAAGCATTCATTCTTTATGATATTTAGTCTTGTTTCCCTAATTTGTGACTCAGTGAGTTTGTTGTTTGTGAAGAGGAATGCTATTGCTTTTTGGGTGTTGATGCTGTGCCCTACTATGCTACTGGATGTGTTTATTAATTATAGGTGTTCCTTCATGATTTTTTGATCTTCTATGCAGATGATTATGTTCTCTCTGCATAATGATAATCTAACTTCTTGTTTTCCAATTCTCATTACTCTTATTTCTTTCTCTTGTCTAATGACTCTGGCTAATGTTTCCAGAACTACACTGAATAGGAGTGGTGGAGCTGGGGAGATGGCTCAGTAGAATAGGTGCTTGCCTGGCAAGCAGAAGGGTCTGAGTTCAATCCACGGTTCCTCGCATCCCCCCCAAAAGAAAGATGTGGGATCTCGCTGATTGAATAGGAGTGGTGAGCTTGAAAATCCACATATTGTACCTCATTTTGGAGTGAATCTTTCATTTTTTGGCCATTTAGAATGATATTGGCTGTTGGTTTGTCACAGATGGCTATGGTGGTACAGTTAGTAATAATGATAAAATTTATTTATTTATTTAGCAGAACCAGGGATTGAACTCAGGAGCTTGCATTTGCCAGGCAAGCACTTAGTCTATTAAGCTATGTCCACAGTCTCTAAGCAAAATTTAGAAATAAACAAACTTGGGTAACTATTAATTTTGTATTTTAGACCATACAATCAAAGCTTGTAGTTAAGTAACAGAAAAAATTCATAAATTGACACTTTGTTTACAGTGTTTTTCCTTGTGAGAGAGAATGTACACTCTTTTTCTCTGAGCAGGCCAGTTACTAGGCTTCAGATGCTTCATGTTGTGTGGTGGGATGGATAAAGCACCTTGATTCCTCTGACACATCTGTATGTTGAGTCTCAAGTGCTTTTTGAACTGATTGTTCATCTTGCAGTTTACACAAATGGGTCAGGTACCTGGATTCCTCTGTCTATGTTAATTGCTTAGAGTCTCTAGATGTGTTATTTTTATACAATGTAGTATTACTCAGCTATGGAGAAGGATAAACCTAAGAGTGTATAGGTAAAATGATGCAATTGGAGGCCATACTCATAAGTGAAATAAATCAAATTTAAATGTAAAAACATTGTATTGACTCCCTAGTCTAAGTAATTAAAAGAGTGAATTATAATAGGAAAAAGCAGAGTGTGCCATAGATGTGGCCAGGCCTGTGGATCAAAAGGAGGTGTAGAGCAAATAGAGGCAGCCAGAACCAGTGAATGAAACAGCTTCATGGACCCAGGAGGAGGGAATTAGGCCTGTGGCTGAACACAATGAGCTGAGGCATTCTGCTAGGACCAGTGGGGTCCAAACTGAGACCCAGACCTACCAGGAGGATCCTCATGGCATGAAGGTGGCAGGAAGAAGCTTAAGTGAACTAGTTTGCCTGCAAGTTTCCAGGTACACGAGGAAGAGGTGTCTGGACAGAACTCAGTCAAATCAGTTCACATATAAATTCCCAATTTAGGATAGGATTTGTTATATAGATGTAGTGTTTGCTCCTATGGCCTAAAATATCAAGCAGTCAACAAAATTTGTCAATTTCTAAAGTTCACTTGCTACTATCAATATTTTTAATTGTACTACTGTAACTAAGATACCATATCCACATAAATTACATATTCTCCCTTGAATAATGATGTGAGGAGACACTTGGTCAATAACCACACCAGAGCCCTATACGGAAGGCTTGAAGACAGTATCAAACATAAACCAATATCCTACTCCCAATCAGTGAAGAAAGCACAAACTTGGGACACACACAGAAGAAGAATCTCTGACACAGAAGAGATATCTAAAAACAGAAACAGGATCTAACACCAGTGATATAGATGTCTAATATAAAACATTTAAAAAAGTATCACAGAAATGAAAATAGTTTTTTGTTCTGAAATACAAAATAACAAAACAAAGTAGCAAAATACAATTTTAGGACCCAAGTCCACCCAAAACAAATTCAGAAGACATCAGCGTAGAAGCAAACAGAAGCCTCACCCCTGAAATCTCTAAAATATAGCAACTGAAGAAAAGAAGCAACTAAAAAGGGGTATAAAGGAAATCATATCAGAAATAATCTCTCAGGTAAAAAACAAAATGATAACTATATTTAAAGAATTACTAACCATTTGTAAAGAAGATATTGATTAAACAATAGAAGAGGGCCAGCCAGATAATTCAGCAGAATAAAGCACCTGCTTAGGCAGAACACAGTGACTGGGGTTCGATCCCCTGTGTACTGTGCCAGCTCTGCACCCCCAGGGTGCACTGAGACAGGGACTGAGACTAGATGTGGT